AACCAGTGTGTGTGTGTGTGTGTGTGTGTGTGTGTGTACATACCAGAGATGGGCTGATAGATGACTCTGTAACCCAAAGTGGGGAACTGAGGGCCATCCCAGCTGATGCGGAAGCGATTATACCATTCATCAGACACTCTGAGGTTACTGGGTCCAGAAAGTGGCACTAACCAATAGAAGAGGGATTATGATTAGTATTTGCGGTCAAGTAATATCAATTATTGGCCAATTGAATTTTATAAAAACTTACATGATTTGAATTGCACAACATGCTATATCATTAAAATGTTCAGGTATAAAAAAAGAATAAATAAACAAATGGATTACTAATAAATAATAAATAATTAATAAATTATCCCAAAAGAAAAAAGATTCAAAAATTTGGGGTCAGTAAAGTTTCTTAATATTTTTGAAAGTCTCCTATGCTCACCAAGGTTGCATTTATTTGATAAAAGGTACAGTAAAAACAATAATATTGTGAAATATTCTTACAATTTAAAATAATGTTTATTATTATAATATATTTTAAAATTATAAATCATTAATTAATTATTAGTAATTTCTTCCTGTGATGGCAAATCTGAATTTTCAGCAGTGATTACTCCTATTTTCAATGTGACATGATTTTTCAGAATTTATTCTAATGTCATGCTTTGGTGCTCAAGAAACATTTTTTTGTTATCATTTTCAATGTTGAAAACAGTTGTGCTGCTTAATATTTTTGTGCGTCATACTGTGATACTTTTTTCAGGATTCTTTGAACTCCAAAAGAATAACAATTATTTGAAATGTATGTTTTGTAACAATGTAAAAATCTTTAATGTCACTTTTTTACTGTCACAATTTCTTTGGGAAAAAAAATCGTACTAACCCCAAACTTTCGTATTGTAAATAAATCAATCAATACGTTGATAAAGAAATTTAAGTAGTTTTTTTTTCTCTCTACAGGCTGTAGTTCTACCCTGAATTCCCAGCATTCTCTTATAAAAGTCTCTGTTTTCACATAATTACCACTCCTCCGCAGAGAATATCACCCCACTCATAATTAATTCAACCTCAATCAGAAACCAGGGCAAAGGTTTTCCAAGACAACTAGCAGACACCTGATCTCAAGATCAGTGTGAGGTGACATTAGCATCTCTAATCAGACACTGGGCTGTAATTTAAAGGTGATCACTGGGAGAAAGTTGTAGATAATCAATCCCATCAGAGGAAAGCAGGCGGGTTTGATTAGTTCATTAGAGTAGGAACACCAGGGCTGGAATGCATAAGATTTATTATGCTTATTTATAGGTAAAATCAATATTATTTAACCTGCTGAAGAATGTGTTTCATTGACTGACCATTCAGCTTCAAAATGCAGTAATGATAAACTGCATCTCAGTGCTGTGATGTAAGAGGATCTATTTTCAGCTCATTCGCACTATATCTGGTACATAAAACAATCAGGTGTGCCATTCATATCATCAAGACAAACGGGAAATTAGTAAGAGCTGAACAATTCTATGCAGATTTAGAATTGAGAGTCAAAAGATGTTGGTTACATTCTGATTCCCTGAGCTTTAAAAAGGGAAAAAGCAGGTATGTTTTTTAACATGTGATTAGTTAGATTAGAAGTGAATCTGCCTCAGGTTCATCACTGCTTTACGGTCAAATTAATTAACTCATTGAAATCACTAACTAACATGGAACTAAATGAGATCACGCTCCTGTTAATACAATGAATGGCATTGTGTTGCATTTTTACTTGATTTATTAAAACAGGATTAAAAATTCATTTATTCCAACCTGGGAATTGAACCCAGGCCGTTCTGCATAACTAGACACTAAATATGTCTAATGCTGCATAAGAACATGCTAAACATTTAGTAAGTGTGAGTTGTTGACGTTTTTAATATTTCAAATTAGCTGAGCAGAGTTGTGTGTTAATGAAGTGTTCATTTTATGATTTCTAAAATGAAGCAAAGGGAGCCAGGACACAACTCAAATCCATAACTATATAATTATGCCAAAGTAGTATGTAATTAGCATAACTGCATCTGTTTTGAAAGAAGTACACATAATGTATTTCATTTATTGTAACTCCAGCAGCATTTGTTCATTCATACTCACGTGTTTTGCCGTTAGAGGCCTTAGACAGAGCTGTGGACTCTCCATCTGCATAAATAGGGGTCACTGTGATCTTGTACCTTGTGTCTGAGAGGAGAGGTTGCAGGATCACGCTTCTTCTGTTTCCCAAGACAAACACCTGGAGAAGAGCAGAATATTCAATACCAGACAAAGCACGGTGTGGGTGTGGGTGCGTTTTGCTTTCTCTGTGAGGACCAAATGTCCTTGAGGTCTCTATGTAGAAACCAGCTTCATAGTAGAAGTAAATCAACATAATGCAGAAATAGTGAATGATTAGTATTAGGGTTAGTATATAATCCTTTAATTTAGCTTCATTTTAATAACAATAGAAGTTAATGGGATGACCCATCATCATACAATATAAAAACGTGTGTGTGTGCGTGTGTGTGTGTACATACAAAGCTGTGATAAAGTAAGTACATCCCAGAAGGTTTTGTCTTTTCTTTCAATATATGTGGGCATATGGATACTGGAACTTCATTTGGACAGTATCAATGAGAGAAAGTGGTATAATAATTAAAAAAAAATAATAATAATAATACAAATTTTACTTTGAATTTTTTTGTCCAACATACAATAATGTTCAAACGTTTGGGGTCAGTCTTTTTTTTTTTTTTTTGTTCAGCAAAGGATCCACTAAACTGATATAAAATGACAGTAAAAACGTTTACAGGTTTACAAAAGATGTATATTTTAAATAAATGCTGTGTTTTTCTATTCATCAAAGACAAATTGTTTGTTTCCACAAAAAATATTAAGCAGTTAAATAAATATTAGCAAATAGTAGCAATTGTTTTCAACATTGATAATAAAGAAATGTAAATATTAGCAATTGTTTTCAACATTGATAATAAAGAAATGTTTCTTGAGCACCAAATCAGCATATTAAATTGATTTCTGAAGGATCGTGTGACACTGAAGACTGGAGTAATATTTGCTGAAGATTTAGCTTTGCCGTCACAGAAATAAATTACATTTTAAAATAATTCAAATAAAACAGTTTAATACAATTTTAATAATATTTCACAATATTACTGTTTTACTGTATTTTTAATCAAATAACTGCAGCCAAAAGCATTAAAATCATCTGGCCCCAAACTTTTGAACTGTAGTATAAATATCAACTATGAATATGTGCATAAATATCTAAATCCGAAAAAAGTACATTTGCCCCCTTTGGCAGGAATAATTTCTTGTAGGTGTTTCTTATAATTGTCCATCAAGCACTTTTTGGTATAATGTGGAATTCATGGTAAGTTTTATGACATTATTTGCAACTCCAAAACTGCAAAAACCCTCAAACCACAACACTCCCACTACTGTGCTTGTGAGTATGAGTTTCTCATTCTCAAATGCTCAAATCTGTCCTTTGACTCATTTGTCTAGAAGTTCTTCATGTAAGTATCGGTTGGCAAACTTCAGTTCTTTTTTTGGAGAGCAGAGGATTCGTCTTTGCTGACCTGCCATATAGACTATATTTGTACAGCCCTTTTTAATGGTTGACTTTCTGAAGCATATTCAAGCATTTCCTGAAGCATTATTGTACATACAGTGGAATGATGGATTGTAAACCGTTAGAAAATGGCTTTAAATCTATTTTTCAGACTCATACGCCACAACATCTTTTCTTCTGAGGGGCTCAGGCAGCTCTGGTGCACCTTGTTGTAATATTAAACACTTGACGTACAGTAGTGATAAATGTAAGGTTGTAATAACTTTTTCCACTAAAGCATTATTATAAAGGATTACATTTTTCATGGGGTGCACTTACATTGTATGTAAGAGGAGGAGAGCGATAACTGCTAGTGTAAGGAGTGATTGTCAAGGATAAAGAAAATGCCAGTATAGTGAAACAATTCCAAATATTTGAGTGTTTGATCAGCTCTCATAAAAGTTATTCTGAGTATAAGCCAAAAGACTAGAAATCTGTGTACTGAACTTTAGGGAGCTGGATGAAAATCAAGAAAGCCAGCACTCAAAGCTCTGTAGCCAGCATCCAATCACTGCAGTCATTCACCACAGACACACCATTAATCACACACACACACACACACACACACACACACACAATCATGGCAGTCCATTGCTTGTTGATAACGAAACGTTGGGTTGCATTATGTGGAGTGCCTTCCTCTGTGTGAGAATACTATCAATGAACAGACTACAAATAAGACAAATGGAAATAAGTCATTTTGTGAATGTTACCCATGCAAAGATTAAGAGGTTATTGAAAAATTCAGAATTCAAAAATCAGAGGTTCTGAATTGACAACATTTTAAGTGTATGCCTTTTACATTTTAAATTACATTTTGAATATTAAATTATTGGATGTTTGTATATTCATGACAGGCTTGTGTTGTGTTTTGTTCCCCATGTGCTCCCTGTGTCCCAGTGTTTAGTCCTTTTTTGGTTATGTTCCTGTCCTGATTATTTCATTGAGTTCATTAGTCTCCACCTGTGTTATTTTATTTGATTCAGGTGCGTTTAATTTACTCCCTCATTATGTCTTGTATTTAAAGTGTAGTCTGTCGGATGTTTCTTTGTCGAGTCTGAACGTCGTTACCTGTTTCCTACGTGTATGTCCCTGATTCCGTGTGAAAGAATAAAGTATGTATTATCGTGAATTCCCCTCCGTCTCCTCGTTCCTCGCTCCTCACAGTAGGGAGCGTGACAATTAAAAGTAATGATTTCTATATTTTTTGCCCAGCACAGGCATTAAATAAATGTATAACTCTGGAATCAAATCATTAGTTACCACAGCAGACTGCACAATATGTTCAGAGTTTATGCTGTGACTTTTTTTTATATCCATAAGTGTACTCAGTGCACCTTTTTCCCTTATTAATACAGTCTTACACATAAAACTGAATCATACACTAAATACACCACTGTTCAAAAGTTTGTGGTTGGTAATATTTTTATTGTTTTGGAAGGATGTCTCTTTTGTTCACCAAGGCTGAATTTATTTACATAAAAAACAACTATATTGTGAAATATTACAATTCAAAATAACTATTTTATTCTATTATTTTCTATTTGAATACTTTGATCAATTTCATCTTTACTGAATAAAAATATTAACTTATTATTATTTTTTTTAATCGTATTGACCCAAAACGTTTGAACGGTAGAATGTGCAGAAAATTATGTTCAATTTTAGCTTCCTTTGATCAGTCAGGTGTGGTAGCCCATTGTCAAGAATGTACTGTTTGACCACCTGCTGTTTTAGACCCTCCTGTTTTTGCTGTGCAGCGTCCTGCAGAACGACTCTCATTAGCGGAACTGTCCACTAATCCGTGGTGCTGAAACCTGAATGCAGGAGATCGTCTCTCTTTTTAAACTTTGCTGGAACTTTCCCTCAAATGAGGCATGCTCTCCCTTACTATCCCTCTCAGATGTTCTCTCTCTACTTCTCACATTTTGCTCAGTGACCTAAATGGCACTTGAAAAGATAACAGAATTTCCTTTTTCCCAGTCCCATCTCCTTTATCCATCTCCTTTATACCTTGACCCCAATGATTCTCCAGGAGAATTACAACCCAGGAGAGGTCGATATTCTGTACAGTTAGGGGCGACAAGTCACCAGAGTTTGAATAAAACTTTACACCACGAAAGATCTTAACCGTGCCAGACCAAGGTTGCAGCAAAGTCAGCCAAATGCCACAAAACAGCAGATTCCTACATCAGAAGAACAGCCATGTTTTAATTCACTCCTGCAATTCCTCACCGTATGATTATGCACTGCAGGAATGTGACAAAGGGACTTCCAGTGCATGCATTTAAAAAGGTCCCTTTGAGCAAGACATGTCCTTGCAATAGATAACACAAGCAGCAGAGCTGTATCATTCAACTCCACTTACCTGGAGGAATATGATAAGCCTGCAATATTATAGCACAGAGGTAATAAATTGTTCCGTTATATTTTTATAGCACAAGAGCAATATAGGTAGCTTTTTGAAATAACAGCCTCACTGGGACACAAATAAGACAAGTGAATGTTGCCCTCTTTATGTACTCGGATTCGGAGAGGAGAGTGCAGCTAAACTGTTCGAGAAGACAGGAAGATGATGATGACAAAAAGCGAGCTCGGTCTTGTGTTGTTATATTAACATTAGTTATGGATGTCTGTGTGCTGCGGTTATGTTTACTCACTGTCCCTTCTGTGCGGTCTGCACTGACATATGTCACTTTGTACTGCTCCACGTCTGAGTCCAGTACCTCCCAGTTCACTTGCATACTGAAGGGTGTCTCCTCGTCCACCCACAGGTTACTCACTCCCAGATGAACAACTAGATGATACAGATCAACTTAGACACAATACATTCTGGGGTATTGATCTACCCATCTATCCATCCATCCAATGTTCAAATAACAGTAGGATAAAGTCATATTTGTCTTACATGCTGTAGTGGAGGGAAAAGTGGTGGGAACTTCTGTGGTCCAGCCCACTGAAATCAAAAACAAAACAAAAGAAAAAATCAAAGCAAATCAAAAAGGAAGACAAAGCAAAACAAACCCAAAGCAAAGCACAAAAACAACCAAGCAAAGCAAAGCAAAAAAAAAAAAAAAAGCAAAACAAAGCAAATCAAAAAGCAAAGCAAAAAACAATAAAGAACAACAAAAAACAAATTGATAACAAATGACAAAAAAGAAAAGCAAAGCAACGAAAGAAGACAACGCGAAACAAAACCAAAGCAAAGCACAAAAACAGCAAAGCAAAAAAACGAAACAAAGCAAAACAAAAAAGCAAAGCAAAGCAAAACAAAGCCAAAGCAATGCACAAAAAAACAAAGCAAAGCAAAATAAAAAGAACAACAAAAAAAAAATCAATAACAAATGACAAAAACAAACAAGAAAAGCAATTAAAAAACAAAGCAATTAGTCAGTTTGAAATAATGTGAATTATCTGGTTGGTGTTAAACATTTAAACAACATTATTTCATGTCTTACATGTATTCTCAAGCACAACCACAGGGCTGCTCTCCGTTTCGTCTTTATAGATGGCTGAGAGTGACACCTTATACTCTGTAAAAGGACTCAGGTCTTGAATCACATATGAGTCCTCAGCTCCATTCAGCATCCTCTACACAACACACAAACACAAAAGCACCCAGTTACAGTATAAACCAGAACTATAACAACATTTCAACAGTGCTGAGAGTAGGTTAAACCTCCTGTTTGGTAATCATCAACAAGTGGTTTGAGAGTTAATTAAAATCAGATATTTTGGAATGCATGGGACAACACCACCTTTTTTAAATAGCCTGTAGATTATGTTACAGACCAGACAAACCACACTTGACAGCAAAGAAGATACTTTACAGTCAATTGTAAAGATTTATCACCAAGTGTCGGAGGGTGATGATGAAGAAAATGGACAGTCCAATTCTGAAGCAAGGCCACATCGATTTTAGTCAAGTTCCAAGAGTGACGGCTCTGATGAAGAGGCCCACCACAGTCATCATCGAGAGGATGCTGAGATGTAGACTAACACATTATTTTCTTATTATTCTGTATGTCGTAAACTACAGTCTGCTTATGGTTGTACCATTAGATCAGGGATCCTCAAATCTGGCTCGCGAGATCCACTTTCCTGCAGAGTTTAGCTCTAACCCTAATCAAACACAACTGTGCATGCTAATCAATGTCTTCAGGATCACTAGAAAATCACAGGTAGGTGAGTTTGATCAGAGTTGGAGCTAAACTCCAGATTTGAGAATCCCTGCATTAGATCAATGACAGATGGCATTTATAAATGGAGAAGATTGGATTTTTACTCAGATTTGTGTGCGTCATTGTGCAGAACATAAGTCAACAGTATTTTCTGTCCATTTTCCAGAAAAAGTCATAGTAGCTGCAACAGTATACAGACAAAACATTGTGTTTTGTCTGGTATAAATGTTGGTGGCTGCTCAGCGAAGCACCTACGCCATGCCAGCAACAAGAACATGCATTAAAAAGCAAGCCTGCTATCAGGAAAGCTTTGGATCTCAGTCAGCTCTGGGCCGTCCCAGCAAACCCCTGTGTTTCTGGGCTGACTCCTCTGCTCTGGGACCTGAAGCTTCAGCCACATTCCAGTCTGCCTCACAGCATTTTATTATTTTCTGCTCTGGTGGCTCTTGGTAAACATATCGACCTGCGGTGCTATCTATAAAAAACAGCTGCACTGACTCCTGGCCAGTAATAAAAATTTTCTCCGTCACACACTCACACACGCTTGTGTCTGTAGTCACGCGTGGCAGGGATAGCGGTGATGGGACGTGTTCAGTATGCTGCTGGTTGTTTTGGTGTTTGTGAGTGCCGGTGACTGGTCATTTCTAATAGTGAATTACAGTGGGCCCCAGGCTTCGGGTTAGGAGAAAGTATTGATTGACTCATAAATCATTTTCAAGGACCTCATAAAATTCATATTTCACTTTCTCTTTTTCAATATATATATAGTTTTTTGGAACTAATATCTAGCAATGGATGTTTAAAACAGCAAGTAAGTCACAATGGAGAAACATTGTAGAAAAGTCAAAGAGAAAGCAGAGAACTTAAGGGTTCAGGGTTTGGCTGGTTAGCATGTGCCCCTGCTGGAAGATGGCATGACTCCACCATCCTACTGCCAAAAAAACATCTGTCTCCACTAACAAACAAAATGCTTTTGCAAGCCACATCAAAAATATTTCATTATATTATAGTAATATTTTGCCAATGACCAACTGATTCATATATGTATTTAATTTTTAAGAGTTCTTATAAGCATGAAACAGACTTATTATCAGGGGTGCACATAAGGGGTACGCATGTGCGCATGCACAACCAAAATAAAAAATGCACTGTGTAAATAAGTTCAAATGCTCATTTGCATACTGACATGGTTAACAGCTATTAATGCACAATTACCATTTTAGATCGACAAACTGTAATACTTTATAAGATATCAATCAGCAGCGCTAAACCGCTGCATACTTCCCGGCAAAATAAAGGCTTGCTGATTTTAAGTTTGAAAATGATGAAAATTCATATTTTAAAAAAGTAAATATTAGATTTTTTTAGGTTTACTATATAATAATTGTATTTTTATTTAACAATCCCTTTTTATTTTAAAATATAATAGTATTATCACACTTTATTTTTTTGTTTATTATTTTATTTGACACAAAAACTAAATAAATTAAGTGCAATATTATTATTATCACTATTATTTTTTTAATATAGTTATATTTGGTCACACTATGTGCAGTGTGAGGACCAAACTAAATTTCCAGGTGCTCTTATGAGAGCCAGGCTGAAAAACTTATGTGCACCCCTGCTTATTATTAATGTTTATATTATTATATTATATTATATTATATTATAGCTCAATTATTTTTAAATATTTGTTTAAGAAGTCTTTTATGCTCACAAAGTCTGCATTTGATCAAAAATACAGAAAATACAATAACATTGTGAAAGATTATTCAAATTTAAAATAAATGTTTTCTATTTAAATATATTTGAAAATGTAATTTATGCATGTGAAGGAAAAAAAAACAATTTAATTTGCTGATTTGGCAATCAAGCAACATTTCCTCTTTTTATTAATGCAGAAAGCAGATACATTCTGGATTATTTGATGATTAGAATTCATTCATTTATTTGAAGTATATATTTTTATAATAATTCACTGTCACTTATTATCATTTAAATACATGGTTGCTGAATAAGTATTCATTTATTTTAAACAAAATTAAATCAAACATCGTACTGACCCCAAACTATTATATTATATTATATTATATTATATTATTACAAAAAATTAATTAAAAAGCAAAACCAAGTACCTTCTAGCTGCACAGAAACAAAAAATAATGACGCAGCAAATGCAGCAAATATAATGCAGGCCCTTGTAGTTATTTATTCTTAAAGTATTATTTTACTAATATTCAGTAATTTGAATAATTTTATTTTAGGGATGCAACGATATTATCAATATCGTGATCGCGATAGCAAATTATCGTGGTCACATGACGATATAAAACGATAGGTCATCCGGGCAAAAAGTGTAGTTTTTAAAATATATTTAAACTTCTTATTTTAAAATAAAAAGTCTTTAAAGTTGTGTGTTTGGGCCATTATGCTTTGGCACAGTATCTGTCAAACGAACTAAAACCAAAAGCACAATATGGCTTAATCCCTTCATCAAGTCTGTTTGCGCTGTGCGTTTCAAAGCGAAGTGCACACAGTACGTTTACATGGACATCAGTAACCTAATTATGTACCTTATTCTGAATAAGACAATATTACGATTAAGGTGTTTACATGAGTTGCTTTTAGAATATTCCTTTCATATTCCCGTTTTACATATTGTACATAGTTCGATTAATGGCACACGTCATTAAGTCACCACGTGACGCCATCCGATGTCCCCTCCGTAATTTCACCTATAAACATACAGTTCGTCTTCGTTATGATGCCATATACAGTTTTGGGTGTTTCATTTTTAATTTACTGAAAGCTTCAAGTGCAGTTAATTATTTGTCATGCTATACATGCAAACAGACGACGGCGTTGTTGAAGCCATTCTTTTATTTGCCGTCAAACGGTTGGCCGTGTGTGTCCTGTTGCAAAATGCGGCGAAAAGTCCTACACGAAGGTAATAATGTGATTAAGGTGTTTAAATGTCTTTACTGCACTTCAATAATGCGACTAAAATAGGAATACTCCACATGTCTTAATTCGATTTCTGTTTACTTCGATTATGTCTTTAGCCGGATTAAGGTAATCAAAAATCTCTGTTTACATGGTAGATTCTTAATCAGAGTATTGTCTTAATCGTATTAAAATCGGAGTATTGTTGTCCATGTAAACGTACTGATTGTTTAGGAGATCAGCTCATGATCCGGTGTTTTCCGCGCCTCAGAACGGCTTCGTTCACAGTGAATGAATGCAGTGAACTCGTTTATTTCACGCGCTGTGAGTTTAGCGCGCGTTTGGGAACGCAACAGCCACCAGTTAAGCTTTATTTTTGCGGCAGATGATTACAGCATTTCACTAGATTTGTAGTGAGACGCGTTTTTGTAAACATGTTTTCACTGAAGCTGGAGTTTTCCTTCATAATAAAAGCTCTACTGCCGTTTCCGTCCAAATAAAAGTTTAAAAGTGCAGTATGAGTTGCTGACAGCTAGCGGTTTAAATGCAGTCCAAATTCAAAATATCTCATTCAAGTGTAGAAATTAGAAAAAAAGTATTGTATTTTCCCTACTTTAATGTAAAGCAAAAATAATATACCTATGAAATATTCATTTTCATTTATTTTACAGTGCAATTGTTTTACAATATGGCTATTACTGTCATTGTTGTTATTATATTGTAATTTGTTTGGCTTCCTAAAACACCAGTGTGAATGTAATTTAGACTGAGACAGTATATCACAAATAAAAAGAGGGTTGAGTCCCCTTTAATGTTCAGGTACAAGTCAATTCACTGACTTTTTTCTGTTTTTTCTGATCAGCTATCATTTCCCTCTGATTTTAGGAATAAATTATGGGTAGGGATTGGGCTTAGTCTATATTTTTGGACAGTAATGTTGATCCAGGAACATGTCTTACTTGGTGAAATCACGGCAACCGATGTAAGTGAGAGATTCATTTCACAGTCTACACAGCTTCATTATGGCAAGTTTTTTTTTTTAATCGTGGTGGACTGAAGTCAGTGATAATGTTCTTTGATGATGTAAATGGTTTTTGCTCGGTTTCTGTATACAATTTATTATGTTTTATTTATTAAGTTGTGATCACATTACATTCAAATTCAGCATAAAAAATATTTTTGAATATGAAACGCATATCTGGTAGGTTACTTGCCTAAAACAATGGGTTTATGATGTGTGTAGTTAATAGATTACACTAACATTAGGCTACCTTTAGCCTTACACTTAATTCTCCGCCGATGAAAAAAAAAGTATTGACACCCAGTATTGATTGAAAGTAAGGAACCCTCAGAAGACAGACTAGTCAACTAGTTGGTTACAAGATTTCCATTTTATGTCAGTGAAATTTGTCTTGGCACACATCCCGAGTTGGAACATTATTTTTCAAATACATTTGTGCTGTACACACTGACTGTACATTCTCTGTTTCTTACTGTACTTATTCTGTATTTTTGTGTCTCAGATGGGTGAGGTGTGTGTTAACTGGAGATACTCACGCACCTGTCACATGATGAAGTCTCTTCCATTTCCAGTGAATGTAGCTTTGGAAACTCTGCAATGTCAGTAACCAGTTTCACCAGAAACGTCCTACCACAGGACTGCACTTGGGAAATTAATTAAATAGCAATTGTATTTAACCAGCAGGATGTCACGTGTCATTTCTTTTATGTTCAAGGATTCTTATTTTGATAATTCACAACCAGTTTGTATTTTCATTTCCTGTTGGTTAACTTCCTGTTTATGTCTGTTTCTATAGTTTCTGATTCATCACCTGTTTCTAGTCTTGCTGCAGTTTCTGTCAAAATAAAAGCTTACAGTTGCAGTGTGTAATAATGTCAGCTAGTGGTTTAAATGGGTAATGCAGTCCAAATTCAAAATATCTCATTCAAGTGTAGAAATTAGAAAAAAAGTATTGTATTTTCCCTACTTTAATGTAAAGCAAAAATAATATACCTATGAAATATTCATTTTCATTTATTTTACAGTGCAATTGTTTTACAATATGGCTATTACTGTCATTGTTGTTATTATATTGTAATTTGTTTGGCTTCCTAAAACACCAGTGTGAATGTAATTTAGACTGAGACAGTATATCACAAATAAAAAGAGGGTTGAGTCCCCTTTAATGTTCAGGTACAAGTCAATTCACTGACTTTTTTCTGACTTAAGTTTTCTTAGTTAAGAACATGGGTTGGAGCTCTTAATTTTGAACTCTCAAAGTGCATTAGACAGAAGAATTTAACTTTAAAACGTACAAAATTTTCTTTTTTTCCCAATTCTTCATTTGTATTTTTTTAACATCGCAATGAATATTATCATATCGTGGATGTCATATCGCGATATTATCATATCGTGAGATTTTGATATCGTTAAATCCCTATTTTATATACTATACATCTGATTAACTGAGTGTGAGAGTGAATGAGAGCATGTTTGTTTGACAGAGAAACGAGTGCTTGTCATGTATTGTAGGTTGTGCTGTAGTGATCACCTGACTGGTCTGGACACCATCTGTCTTCATATACACGACACGGTAGCCCTTAACCTTACTGGACACTGTGTCCCAGTTGAGTCGCACAGAGCTGTGGTCAACTTCAGTGACCCGCAGGTTACGTGGAGGTCTCAGGGACACTGCAGGAAGACAAGGACTAATGATCAATCACTGACACATACTGAATTTTAAGTGACATTGTTACAACATTAAAGTCACAATGATTTTGATGCACTTTTTAACTGCTCATTAATTTTCCTAAAAACACGTTCTGTCCTTGTCTTCCAACTCGAGAATGAGAGCGTGTAAGACAATGTAACATCTTTGAGTTAAACTTGTTAAACAGACATATGAACGCATCGTGGTCACCATCTGCCGCAGCAGGGCTCGGGTGAGAATTTGAGGGGGGCTGTATCGTGGAGTTAACCACTTAAACCTTCGCTCCTTACGTGACAGGAATCCGGTAAACTTTTTCGTTCAATCTTCCCTATCTTCTTCTGACACCACTCCAGTGACAATGGCATTGATAAACGCGAGATCTCTGGCAAATAAAACTTTTATTCTGAACGATCTCTTTGCCTCTCACGAACTTGATTTTTTATTTGTTACTGAGACTTGGCTTAACGCTGGCGACACGTCTTCACTCTCTGAACTCTCTTCTGCTGGTTGCAGTTTTGTCTGTCAATCCAGCAGATCTCTGCGCTCAAATGAACAACTACTCCTAATGGTTCCGCGATCTCATCTAAAATGTAGAGGGGATCGTGCTTTCTCTGTGGCAGCTCCTAGGCTCTGGAATGCCCTTCCTCTGTCTATTAGAACTTCTCCAACTTTGGGTGTTTTTCAGAGTTCGCTTAAATCTCATTTGTTTTCTCTAGCTGTGCATGATATTTGTTGTTACTATTATTATTTATGTATTTTTATTTTTTTATTTTATTTTACTATTATTATTTTTCATTTGTTTTTATATTATTCTTATTTTTTTTCCCCTTATCTTTTTCTGTACAGCACTTTGGTTCCAGTCGTGGTTATTATTTTTCATTTGTTTTTATATTATTCTTATTATTCTTTTTTTTTTTTTCCCCTTATCTTTTTCTGTACAGCACTTTGGTTCCAGTCGTGGTGTTGTGCTTTATAAATAAAGTTTGAGTTGAGTTGAGTTGAGGTCATTTTGATTCATTTTAATGAACCAGTTCAAACTGCCAGTTTTAATTAATAGTTTTTTTTTCATATATTAAACTATATACAGTAGGATTTAGTAGGATTTTTTTCTTTAATTATACTTTTATTCAGCAAGGATGCATTAATCTCATCAAAAGTGACCATAAAAACATTTATAATGTTAAATGTTGGGGAAAAGATTTTATAAATGCTAATAAATGTTGTTCTTTTGAACTTTCAATGAATCAAATAATTCTAAAAAAACGCATCACGGTTTCACCAGATCAGCATATTAAAATGATTTCTCAAGACCAGTGTTGGGCAGTAATGCATTACTTTGTAACGCGTTACTGTAATTTGATCACTTTTTTAGTAACGGAGTAATTTAATGCGTTATAATTTTCAAAATAGTAATTAGAGTATAGTTACAAGCCAAAGTCTCTATACGTTACTGCCGCGTTACATTCTGCCCAAGTGGCAACCTCCCGCTCTCTCTCGTGAAGCCAACAAGGAAGTGACTTAAACTGTAATTCATCAACTGGCCGCTAGAGGCTGGCTGCAAAAGGGATGTTAAAATGCCAACTTTACAGCAGAAAAAAACATGTTTACAGTCTATATAGCTCATTTTGCCCTTCATGATAACTGTGAGGGGGGTGAATTTTTGTATAACTCATCCGTTTAAATTATATTAAGCCTTAAACTTCTGCATAATTAAGGGCGTGGCCACTTGAGTGACAGGTGGATTGCCGCTGCTGTCACCACCGTCGCGCTAGGTGGGCGTGGCTTCAGCAACCTGCTCCCGCCTCTTTGCCCATTTTCGATTATCCGGGAGTGACGCGCGGTGACGCGCTGCCAAGATGGCGACGGCCACCTCCGCCCACTTTTGAGCTTCAAAAACGCTCTTCGGAAATCTACGGGTGACGTCACGGACACTACGTCCATGTTTTTATACAGTTTATGATTCTGCCATGCCAAACCATGCACGCAGCAGCCGCTTGTGCTTTAGTTAAAAATAACAGTGTTCTGTGAATGTTGATGCTTTAATAACAAATATTTATCGGGAGCGTGTATGCTGGGATTTCATAAATTTAATACCTTGACCTTTTAATGTATTTTTTTATGTATTTTGACCTTTTAGTTACTTTTTAACTGCAGTGTAAATTAAAATGTTTTGTGAATATATGAAAATGTGCCTTGATTATTGAACTAAAATGCACATCTTAACAGACGTTTACTCTTTGAATTCAACATTTTTAATATAATTGGCTACTATGGCTGTTTTGATTAAATCATTTTTGATCTGATTAAAAAAAAAAACACACAATTATAAGCCATTTCAAAACAAATACACACATACTGATTATTATTAAAAGACTGAAAATATTTAAATATTTTATTTATCTATACCACCCAGCCCTATTACTTGGAGCACCTTTAAACACATTTTAGTGTTTATTAATTAATTATTCTGAGTTTATCTGTGCAGCAGAATTCAAAATAGAACCATTAAACATAAAAACAGGTTGGAAAGAAAACTGATTGCATGTTTAAATTTAAAACAGACTGGCTTGGACACTCACTGGTGGTATCCTGAACAGTAATGGGATCACTGGCCTCCTCTCCGAACATGGCATAGACTGTAACGGTGTACTCTGTGTCAGGAATCATTTCAGTCAGTTCCACATCAGTCACCGACTCATCCACCTTTAGCTGTATCCCAAAAACAACGGCAACACCTTTAGAGCAGCATAAAGGCTGCTGAAACACAGATCAAAGTGCAACCAAGGGAACTCAAACGTGATGAATGTTATTCTTCTTCTACGGCTCCCATGAAAAGAGTCTAACAGCAAAGTTACTATTTTGGGGGAAGTGTCATCATGCCGGCGCGGTCTTAATGTTTACTCAAACACAGACAGGCACACTCACAAAGACAATTTGCAGCCTCACCTCTCTTTCATCTGTAGTCTCACTTCTCAGTGGAGCGTAAAGGATCATGTACCCAGAAGCCCCTTCTGCATCCCTCCAGCGGGCTCTCATGCTGTTGTCTGTCACGTCGTACACCTCGAGATCACTCACTGTTGGTAGAGCAACTGAGATACACACATACATACAAATCAGACATCCATATTTAACACAGACAGACGGTCTGTTTTTTTTGTGTGTGTTTGCATGTGTGTGAATGCGAACATTGTAGTCATTTTATAAATCCATATTTTTGTCTTATTTTACAGTAAAAATACTGAAAAAAATCATCGCCAAATGGCCTTGTGGGCAGCACACTGACATGTAGCTCGGTTGATTTAATTTAATCTTTATATTAATCTATATATATAATGCATTTTGAATTACACTTAAAGTTACATTTTAATATCTTTTTAAAGAATAATTTATCATTTTATTTATTTAAGAATAATAATGCTTAAAATGGAAAAATATTTAAAATGTAAACATTTAATTTACTTTAATTCATTACATTTTATTTAGTCTATTTTAAATCCAAATTTTATTTCAGAAAACAACTTATAATATCTAACACAATTTAGCTTCTCATTTAAATCTTGCTTTACTGGGGGAAAAAAATACTGATTAAACAATTTGTTTGTGTGTCTTGAGTATTTTTCAGTTTTGGATGTGCGTGTAAAAGATTTGCAAAGATCAGAAGTGTGTTCTGAGTTGGATTCTGTGAAGAGTGTGACTTTGATGGAGTGTGAAGGGAAGCAGAAAATGTTTTCATTCTGGAACAAGCACACATGAACGGTCTTTACAACAATCTTCTACCACAAACCAAAGACTTTAAACATCTTAATCAAACACAAAACGTTTCAGAAGTCAGTTCTGTGTTCTTGAGCTGACTGACATGCGTCTGCTCAAAAGTAGTGGTTAGGAAATAAACATACTGTATATTAGAAGGTGATGATAGAATTAGTGTAAAGGGCATTTAGGAAAAAGAAATAGGCATGTGGTTTGTGGGTAATGACTGTTCTACAGTGAAATTGTGTTGAAGGACACAAGCCTGTAACACATGTGATTTGAAATGTTCTGTAGTCAAGGTTGGTCGTGGCAAGTTTAGAATATGACTCACGCGTGATCTCGCTGCCTCTCAGAGCGTCACTCGCTGCGCTGCGGTACACAGCGAACACAGCAATCTCATATTCAGTCAGAGAGTTCAAATTCTGCAGGACGACTGAATTCTCCGTGCCGCCCACCACAATCTGTACAGCAAGACAACAGCGGTTTGTGATGCCGAGCACAGCAGTTTGCAGAATGGTTATGAAAAATAGGACCAAAAAACTCAGCTGTATTTAATAATGTGGCAAACTGCAGCACAAAATATTTATAGTATTGAGCTGACACCCATCACAAAAATGGAAATAGAACAAAAGATAAAAGAGGCACTGAAAAGTATTTTGATATTTAAGCTACAGTTAAAAATGCAATACTGTCATTCCTCTAGATAACAAAATATCAAACGAACTGGGGTTTATTTTTAAGCCAGAAAGCACAAAAATGACTTAAAAAACAATGACAATGAATGTTGAACATCTGGAGAACATCAGTTGACATATATAGTAGGACCTCTGACAAAAGGTCATCTATCTTCTAAAATACATTATTTTCTTCAACCTCATGTTGTTACAAACCTGTACTCATTTATTTGACTGTAAAAAAAAAAATCTGTGACATTTACAGTAAAATACCGGCAGCTGTGGTTGCCAGAACTTCACCGCAAAAAATATGGTAGCAACATTTTAGGTTTTACAGACCTAACTTAAATTCACAATAAAATGCAGTATTTCATTAACTGATGTAATGTTAATTAACCAACATATTTAAGTACTAATATCTGTTTTGAACCATTGTAATGCACTGATAACCACCAAAAACAGGTGGTGATGAGAAAGTCACATGATGAACCAAAGCTCATCACAAACAGCTTTTCTACGAGCTGAGGAGGGCAATACTTATATATAGAAGGTGCAGTGTCATTCACACAAACACTAAACCCCATCATGGTGACACACATGATACTGAAATAATGCAATAAACATTAATTTAACAACATTAGATGTAAGATTAAACCCTAGTGTACACAACTGATAAGAAAAAACTAAGAAGAAACGTTATAAAAAAAATTTTTTTTTTTTAAATATAAAATATGAAGTGTCATGCAGGGAATTCTGCGAGTGTCAATTTACGGTTTTTCACTGTAAATTATACAATGACTTTTTCTTTTTCACTTTCAAAAATCGTATTTTTAACAGTATTTTACTGTAAAATTACATTAAATGTAATTACATGTATTCACCGAATATAGTATGGAAACTTACGGTTAACCAGTTAACAGGTTTTTACTGTAGCATTTTTACAGTCTTTTACTGTTAAAATCACAATCATTATTTTACAGTATGGGGAAGACAACAGAAGATTGTTTTTTGATCATACAATAAAAGTCAGTCAGTGGGGTTAAATGTTGTTCTGAACCTCATAGACTTTCATTATGTGGGTCTTTTGTGTTCTACAGAAGAAATTTATACAGGTTTGGAATGACATAAGGAATGACATAAGAAATGACATAAGAAATTTATTTTTTGGGTAAACTATCCCTTTAAGTGGCTTTTAGGTGGAAGGTTTTGGATATTTTGTGGCATTGCTAATAGCCGAGTAGCATATTTGAAAGTTGCAATAGAGCATTGGTCACCTCTTCCAGAATATCTGCTCCAGTTGGATGGTAAACAACCCGATATTTTTCCACACCGCCAGACGCACGAGTCCAAGACACACGAAAACTGTGTGCAGTCACCTCAGAAGTGACCAAGTCCTGGGGTGGAGATGCCGTCTCTTCAGTGGAAGAATCTCCTGTCAATCATGAGGGAATCATGGGGCTTTGGATCAGACATCAGATACTGTATCTAAGTTTAAATAGCAATTAAAACACTCACGTTTAATATCTTTGTCTTGTTGTTCCACTCCATCACACACCTTTCTGGTCAGACCGTTCACTATAGTGCTCATGATACTGAAGTCTGCCACATTATAAACGTGTGTTTCCTCTGGTTCAGAGACGATGGCCTTCAGCTCGTTCTCATCAGCATTCTTCACACCTACGCACAACCACACATATTCACACAGGTTTCTGGAATACCTCAAATAAATAACTTGTGTTGATAATATGTCAGTGTTGACAGTCTATAATCTTTTGGCAGATTTTGTAAATACGTATTAATGATAAAATTCATGAATTACTTCTGAAAAGCTCTGCAACATGTCTACATCATCCCTGAGGATGTTTATTTAACACTGGATGGACATTTATTTACATACTGCATCTATTAAATTCAATGTACACAAAAAAATGCATGAGGATTTTTCAAATACCAATGGCAAATAACTCGACTCCAGCGCTTCTCAGGGTCTGAGCAGGTGGGTTAACGTCATCCTGGGATTTGCCGTCGGTTATCAGAATTCCAATTTTGGGAACATCACTACGAGCCCCAGACTCGGGTTTGAAGCTGTTCTCCAGGATGTAGGTAAGCGCAAGACCTAGCCAGACCAAAATAGTAAATGAAAGAGTTTCATAAAATAAAGTTACTAGAAAAAAAAGTCACAACTGTGAGATATAAAGTTGCCATTACAAAGAGTGAATTCGCAATTAGTCCAACAAATAAAATCACAAATACAAGAAAAAAATCACAACTGTGAGCTATAAAGGTATAAGAAATATAAAAAATGAAATTATGAGTAATAGTCATCACTGTGAGCTATAACGTCACAATTACAAGAAATAAAGCCGCAATTGTGAGAAATGAAATAGCAAAGAAAGTAAGTCATAATTATTAGATATAAGGATGCAATTCTGAAATATGAAGTTGGATTTCGGAAACATTAAGTTGCAATTACAAAAAGTGAAGTTAATTATAGTATAAAATAGGTGAAGTTAATTGTAGCATAGGAAATAAAGTCACAAATAAAAAAAGTTGAAACTGCAGCAAAGTCACAATTATGAGAAATAAAATCACAATTACAAGAAAGTAAGTCACAATTGTGAGATATAAAGTCAGTTGCAAAACACTAAGTCACAATTGTGAGATATAAAGTCACAATTACAAGAAACTAAGTCACAATTGTGAAATATAAAATCACAATTGCAAGAAACTAAGTCACAATTGTGAGATATAAAGTTACAATTACAAGAAACTAAGTCACAATTGTGAGATAAAATCACAATTACAAGAAACTAAGTCACGACTGTAAGATCTAAAATTGCAATTACAGGAAAGTAAGTCACAATTGTGAGATATAAAGTCACAATTATGAGCAATAAAATCAGTTTTGAGGAATAAAAATTGCAATCACGGGAAAGTAAGTCACAACTGTGAGACATAAAGTTGCAATTGTGATTTATGAATTTGCTCTACCACAGTACAATATAAATAGCACCTATAGTGCCTGGTAATGTTGGACTGGGTGGTTAGTATACAAAATGCAGGTTTCTGCACTGAAAAAATATACACAAAAGTGAAATACTAATTTAGTTATTTATTGCCATGCCTACATTAACAATTTGTTGTGCTTTGGATTTGTACTTTGGTGCACTGATCAGACTGGTTATTAACACTTTCACAAGGCACAGTATATCCGTGTCTCTAGAACAATGGAAAAGGTCTGGAAAAGCACAGCACATTACCTGTGAGAGTGTTGCCTCCCTTGTACGGCAGGTTTTTGACAGCATCTATTACTGCATCTTTTGTACTGAAGCCATTCAAGTGCCACTCAATCCGTGGATCGCCGCTGTACTGGGCCAGTCCTAAAACACAAAAAAACACATTCAGGGAACACAATAACACTTTACAGGTCAGATCTAAATTAAAAGCAAATTAATATATGATCCATTACTATACATTAATCGAACCCACCTATCCGGGTTTTGTCTATTCCCACATCGAAGGCATTGACCAGGTTTTCAAGGAACATACGAATCAGATGGAAATTGATTCGCCCAATACTCCAAGATCCATCGACCAGGATGACAATATCCGCAATGGCAGAAGTTGTGCAGACAAACTGATCCACTGGATTATGAGAGATGAACAGAGAGAAAGAGACAACTCTCAAAGAAAGAATGAACCTTGCACATATACAGTCCCACATGTCTATAGATCCAAAAACATTGTTCTCTGAAGAAACAAACAAACCCAGCACCATATCACAAATTACACAGCAGTCTGTGAATGCAGGTACGGTTTTATTGAGCCAATTTGTCATTGCACAAAGTATCATCAGAGCGCAGGGAAGAACATGCTTGATTTATGAACACTCACAATCAACAAAAGCAAAATTATTTTACTCATAATTTTAACAGAGCATCTTTGGGATCCACACTGGTTAGAGACAACTGATGGCATCTTGAACTCCAAAAAATCATGTGTGTGTTTATGTCTCTGCGAGTGTGACGGTAACTCCTGGCAGTCCCACTGTGCAATAACTACATATCCACACACAGAGGGGGTAAAGTGATGAAGTGTCAGTACGGGCAGTAAATCTGAGGAGCGCAGGACCACAGAGCTCAGCAGTGTATCATGGGAGTCTGTTTTGTTCCTCCCTCAATCATTTATTTTCACAGAAGAACTGGCCGTCAAAGGCTTATAGCATGATGCAAGTAATGTCTATAAGAGCATTAGTGTTTGGCACCATCTACAGAGGCTGAAATACAGAACAGGGACATTATCCAAACTCAACTAGTCCTGGACATGAATACAGAGAAATCCATTGACGCAAAGATGGCAGCGAGGAGTAGAGAATTGAGGCTCTTAATCCGTTGCTAATGACATATTTCCATAAGCTTAAAAGAGAGTGATTTACATTTTAAAGGGATAGTTCATCCAAAAATTTAAAATGTTATTATTATTTCCTCACACTCATGTCATTCCAAACCTGATTGTCATTCTTCCATGGAACATAAAAGGTGAAAAATGTTTTCAGTGTAATGAAAGTGAATAAGGATTTCAAAAAGATGCAAAAGGACCAGAAAGTAGTCCACAGAACTTATATTCCATGTGAATCATATGTTATTTTTGTGTAAGGCACAGACCAAAATGTATTATTCCCAAATAAGCTTTTATTCCAGGGAGTTGCTAAGTATTGAACTCCAGAACCAAATCTCTGATTTGTAAAAAAAAAAAAAAAAAAAAAAAAAAAAAGTTTTTAAAAATGAATACAAAATGACCAGCTAACATTAATTGACTAATCATATCAGCAGCACATGT